CATCAAATTGAGAAGTTTCTGTACTGCAAAAGAAACAGTCAGGAGAGTGAAGAGACAACCGACAGAATGGGAAAAAATATTTGCAAACTATGCAACAGATAAAGGGTTAATAACCAGAATCTACAAAGAGATCAAGAAACTCCACAAAAAAAACCAACAATCCAATTAAGAGATGGGCCAAGGACCTCAATAGACATTTTTCAAAAGAGGAAATCCAAATGGCCAACAGGCACATGAAAAAATGTTCAAGGTCATTAGCAATCAGGGAAATGCAAATCAAAACCACAATGGGGTTTCACCTCACCCCGGTTAGAATGGCTCACATACAGAAATCTACCAACAACAGATGCTGGCAAGGATGTGGGGAAAAAGGGACACTAACCCACTGTTGGTGGGAATGCAAACTGGTCAAGCCCACTATGGAAGTCAGTCTGGAGATTCCTCAGAAACCTGAAGATAACCCCTACCGTTCGACCCAGTCATCCCACTCCTTGGAATTTACCCAAAGGAATTTAAATTGGCAAACAAAAAAGCGGTCTGCAGCCTAATGTTTATTGCAGCTCAATTCACAATAGCTAAGACCTGGAACCAACCTAAATGCCCATCAACGGTAGACTGGATAAAGAAATTATGGGATATGTACTCTTTAGAATACTATACCGCAGTAAGAAACAACGAAATCCAGTCATTTGCAACAAAATGGAGGAATCTGGAACACATCATGCTGAGTGAAATAAGCCAGTCCCAAAGGGACAAATACCATATGTTCTCCCTGATCGGTGACAACTGACTGAACACCAAAAAGGAAACCTGTTGAAGTGGAATGGACACTATGGGAAACGGTGACTTGATCAGCATAGCCCTGACTGTTAATGAACAACTTAATACATTATCCCTCTTAGTAGTTTTTTTGTCTGTGCTACTTAATATGACTGGTTTAATTCTGTAATTAATACACAGTTATTCTTAAGTGTTGAAATTTAACTGAAATGTGATCCCTGTTAAACATAAGAGTAGGAATAAGAGAGGGAAGAGATATATAATTTGGGACATGCTCAAGCTGACTTGCCCCAAATGGTAGAGTTAGAAACATACCAGGGGACTCCAATTTAATCCCATCAAGGTGGCATGTACCAATGCCATCTCACTAGTCCAAGTGATCAATTTCAGTTCGCAATTGATCATAATGAAAGGACTAAGAGTCAAAGGGAGCACATAAGCAAGTCTAGTACCTGCTAACACTAACCGATAGAATAAATAAAGGGGAGAGTGATCCAACATGGGAAGTGAGATACTCAGCAGACTCATAGAATGGCAGATGCCCTAACTAGCACTCTGGCCTCAGAATCAGCCCTAAAGGCATTCAGATCTGGCTGAAAAGCCCATGATAGTATTTCAGGCATGGAAAGCCAAGACACTCTGGCAAAAGATCTCTGTGAGTGAGATCTCAGTGGAAAGAACAGGTCTTCAAAGAAGGAGGTACCTTTCTCTGAAGGGAGGAGAGAACCTCCACTTTGACTATGACCTTGTCTAAACAAGATAAGAGTCGGAGAACTCAGAGGGCTTCCATAGCCTTGGAAACTCATGACTGGAGCATAGGGAGATTACTGATGCCATAGACAGGAGTGTCAATTGGTAAAGTCAACAACAGGAGTCACTGTGCACTTACTCCTCATGTAGGATCTCTGTCCTTAATGTGCTGTGCATTGAGATTTAATGCTATAACGAGTACTCAAACAATATATTTCACTTTGTGTTTCTATGGGGGTGCAAACTGTTGAAATCCTTACTTAATGCATACTAAACTGATCCTCTGTAAAAAAAAAAAAAAAAGAAATTATCAATTCCCAACTTGACTCTCACTGGGATTAAACATGACAATAGGTCTGATCTGATTTCATCATCATTAAAAAAAAATCATCTATTATTTTTCACTTTATGTTTCTGTGTGGGAGCAAACTGTTGAAATCCTTACTTAATGTATACTAAGCTGATCTTCTGTATATTAAGATAATCGAAAATGAATCTTGATGTGAATGGAAGGGGAGAGGGAGTGGGAAAGGGGAGGGTTGTGGGTGGGAGGGACGGTATGGGGGGGAAGCCATAGTAATCCATTATTCGTACTTTGGAAACGTATATTCATTAAATAAAAGTTAAAAAAAAAAAAAAAAAAAAAAAAAAAGAAAAGTAGGGAAAGGTGGACACCACCCTGAAATGGAGATTTCCTTTTTTGTAAAGGGAGCCATAATTACTTTCAAGGAATAACAAATAAGGTACTTAAAAATGTTTGTAGAAAATGGCATTAAACCATATTTATTTTGGTGCAAAAGGAATGTGATAGAGTTTTTTGTGATATGTATTTTGCATGAACTTTGTCATGAAATAACTTATCATTCATGAACATTTTGAAGTACTCTCATGTTTTTGTTTTTGTTTTTCAAGAAAAGCAAGGAATCTGAATATTTATATGAAATCATCTAATATTTACATATGGGCCGCTAAATCAAATTTTTAAAAAATTATTGAATAATCAGAAAGAGAGAGAGATCTTCCTTCCATTGGTTCACTCCCCAAAAAATTATTGAATAAGCACAAACAAAATAACTGGCCATCACATCAGTCAGAAGAGGAGTTACTAGTACACACAATCTGCCAAGCACTGTAGCAGTCAGAGATTAAAGAGGGGCAATAAAGAACTTCAGGCATTATCTAATGTCTTCTCATTCAATAGTCATCTGGCAGTTTTCTGGGACAAATATATGTGCATGGATAAATTATCTTCACTCCTACTTCTCTTGCTCCAGAATTAGGCATACCACATCACTTACTTTTGAAAATCTAACTTGAAAACCAGACTAAAATCAGTAGCTATGTTATAAAAGTCATTCCAGTTATTTTTTAGAGCTTGTTACATGAGCTATACAGTAAAATTTAGCTTAATGTGATTCCATATAGTTCATGCAGCATGGTTTTATGACTAAACTTGTGTGTTAAATTGTTTAGAAATGTTGAGTTTCTGAATGTTATATGTGAGCTTTGCTTGTTCTAATCCTCACTGTATATGCAAACGGGGCCCCTTCTTATTTGCCTTCCCCAGCTTTCCTTCTGTAGGATATCTCTTCTATACCATGAGCAGAGCATCCACTGTTGCTATTCTCCCCCTTTCCTCTCCTCCCCTCCCCTTCCCTGCTTCCTTTCCTGTGCCCCTTGAGACTAGCAGTATCCATATTCAAAGCAGCTTGATAAAAGTCAATGCTTTCTTTACAGAAAAAAAAAAAAAAGCAACTCCCTCAGAAGGGGCTAGAAGCCCAGCTATCCACAGCTTTGCCAGCCGTTAGCTTGTAAAACCAACCCAGATACGGTGGCTCTTTTCCTGCCTTGAGCAGAAGGGGAAAAAAAGAGAAAATTAAACTATTTTCAGACTTTTTGGGACTGAAGTTTTTAAAAAGAAAGACTTTATAAAATAATTAATGAAAAACAACAATGGAAAAAGATGAACAGTGCTACTAGCACATATTTCTAAATTAAAATTCAGCTACAGATTATGCTCGGTAGGGACAGTTTATGACACTCGTTCCTACAATGATTTCATTTCTTGCTGCAGTCTCATCTAAGTGATTTTTACTCCAGACTTTAGTCTGGATGATGCCTCATTTCTTTACCTGCCATTCAAACCTCTACCTCATCTCACTGGAGCCCGTGTAGCCACATAAAGATATCAGTAGTGCTTAGGCTTCTCCAGTTGCCAGAGCAGGCAGGCTTCCAACCCCTTTCTTAGACTGCCAGCTATGTCCCACCCTGTCTCGGGCACCACACACCTACCCACACACCCAGCCTCAGCTTTTCTTGAATGAGAAAAGTCTCGCACCTGCCTAGTTTACAGAGCAGAAGACATTGATGCTGTTCTTGTGCTACACTCAGGCTCCCATATTACACAGCCAGACAGGAGTCCACCTCCCCAGAGTATTTTCTGATCTGCCTTTGCTTTCTATGTCCTAAAGGGTTGCGTAGAATTCTTCCAGCACAGGTTGACATCATCAAAATGATTTCAAAAATACTGCAACAACAAACTTTATCTTCCAACACTACAAGAATTATCATGCTGTCATGTGTGAGACTGGTACATGACATTATTTGGCCAAAGTAATTGAAGCCTGGTTTAAGCTCACCCCACCACGTTTGAATGGCACTGGTGGCAATCAATCAGGTATATTTTGTCCCCCAAAGCATGAAGGGAACAGGAAGAGAATCGCTATGAAGACCAAAGGAAAACTGAGAACATTTTAGACAAAGAATATTTGAGTCTCCCATGCCTCCCACTTCCGTAGCCTGGTTTCATGGGAGGAAAGGGTGAAAAGCATGAGTTCTGACATGAGGCAGTTTCAGTTAAAAACCAATTTCTACTGCTTACCAGCATCTGGGAGCTCAAGGAATTTACTCAAACTCTCTGTTCCCCTTTCCCCTGAATCTGTAAAATGGGAATAATGAGAGTTCTTCCCTCATGGGGTAGGCAAGCACAAAAATTAAATGAGATAATTCATGTAAAAACATTAGAACTCACAAAAACCTCAGTAGATGTTAACGTTAGCTCTTGTTACTTGACAGCCTAGACTAGGCATTGAATAGAGTTTTTTTTTTCTTTTAACATTTTCTATATTTGATTATTACCTTGACTATTACTTGGCAGTCATAGCCATCTGTCTGTATACTAACATGAGTGTCATCCACATTGTATTTTTACTCATATTGAAATTGGAGGTGTTTTAAAGGTGAAATTTCCTTAGGATTTCTTAGGTGCCTGCAGCCACCATATCCTCATGTTTCTGGTGGAACAGTCACAGTTTGTGGTTAACCGGACAAGAGATGCCCAGAGCGACAGCTACAGAATGTAGGTCAGTTTCCCTGACTAATGAACATTAAACAGCTGATGGGATTCAAACGGCAATCAGCCCAAGTTCATTCAAGTAAATACGAGGATAATGAGGAAGCAGTATTGCTACCTGGCCAAAGATCCAGACAGGAGAATCGCAGACGCCAGTCACACAAACACTACAGTCTGCAGAGGATGAGAGCACCAGCAGACACCCACCCGCCTCACACATCTCCAGGCAGCTTATGCGGTCCTCGTGAGGCTGGAATGATCTTAACAGGGGCGGAGCCTGTGTGATTCTCTTCTTGCTGGAGTTAAGACAGTACTCCTGAGTGAAAAGACATACCAGAACTCTAAAAAAATCCAAATACTGTGATTACAGTGACATAGCATTTTTTGAAAAAAGGTTGATTCAAAAATGGGGAAAAATGACATTAACTATTGTCTCACTTGGGAAGCAGAAAAAAATGAAGAAGTAAGGGAGGAAAAATCAAAAGGAAAATTGAAAAAGTAAAGTCAGCAATTTAGTAGAGAATATCTTGACCATGTATAGGTACTCAAATATTACACAACTTTTAATAGTATGAGAAAACTGAGCAGTAAATCAGTGACAAACAGCTACCTATTAACTCAGAATGGCAATAACAGAGAAAAAGCCAGCACTCTATTGAAATTAGGTTTACAATTTCTTTTCAAATAAGGCATATCCTAATTATTTACATACAAACAATATATTGTAGCACCTTGCTGACAATTTTGCATTCCTAAATTGGGTTATTGACTTGAGTAAATATTAACAGAAGATTTTTTAACAGAAAAATCTGGCTTTCTCCATCAATTACTTGCAAGATGTCTCTGCTAAACACATGGACATGATTTCTTTACAATATTCAGACCAGGGGTGGGCAGTTGGTGTAGTGGCTAAGACACCACTTTGGACCCTCTCATCTCACGTAGAAGTGCCTGGTATTAAGTCCCGGTTCTACCTTGGATCCCAGGTTCCTGACAGTGCAGGCTCTGGAGGGCAGCAGAACATGCATTCACATGGAATACATGGATTGAATTCCTGATTCCTGGTTTCAATCCGGTATAGCCCCAGATATTATGGGCATTTGGGAAGTGAACCAGGGAATGGGAGACACCTCCCCCCACCCCTCGCCTACCGACTCTGCATTGAAAATACCTTTGAAATTCAAAACTAATAAAGACGATGTGAGAAGTTTCAATCTACCTGTATATTCCAGATTTTCAACCACCCATTCAGATCTCCTGTGGTGAGATATCGATTCAGTTTATCAGTAGACATAATAATGGATCCAGCTCCACTATGAGCCAAAAATTCAGCCAGAAGTTGCTTTTTAAATGTGTCCCAGAATCTGACAGAACCACATCCTCCGCATGATACTAGGTTGGCTCCTCCTAACATGTAAGGGAAAACCGAATTAGGAAACTGAAACATTGAAGAAACAGCATCTTCAGTGGCTCACTCTGCAAAGCACAATGGGTTGGAGAGATGAGGTACTCTGAGATCAACTCCCATTCTCTTATAAGAGGGAGATAACCCTATGATATGCTCACTAATTGGTGTTGAGTGTTAAATGATACAAGGTATGTAAGATGTTCAATTATAGGTAGTATTCTTCTCTTCATTCACTGTTGTGATGTTTTGAAGCTAGATAGAATTAGTCTTTCCCAGTAAATTCATAAAATATTAATTTTAACATTCTTTTAATATTCTGATTACATAAAACCCATCTTCCCTAATAACCCACTGGACACATACAACAATAAAGGAAGAGTTCTCGTGCACAGACTTGGATGAGTTCGTTTAGGGAAAGCAGCTTAGCTTCTGATTTCCCTGGTGAGCAGCATGCCTAGGACTCCATTGATGAGCTTGTTTTCACTTTTTTTCATCAAGAATTCAATGTAAGCCTTTATGGAACTTTTTTGGGTTATTAGGTCTAGAATTAGCCTTTCATTTCCTATTCTTATATGCTTTAGAGAAGAATTTCGCCTAAATTATTCTTATAAATGAAGTTCTTATTAACTGATAAATTTGTAGATGACTTCCAGTTTGCCTCAAAATATACTGCCGATTAACAATCATGTGTGCTTAAGGTAGAAATAATGGCAGGTAGCAAATTGTGTCAGTGAAAACAATTTGGGAATATTGATAACATTAAGAAGAATCAGTGTTGAGGAAATGAGAGTAATTTTAGGATAATAGTTTATATTGTGGGTATACGTGAGTTCTAGAAGATAGAAAGATTTAGAATCTATTTCAAAATCAATTTTAAACAATCCATATTTCTAAACTTTAGATATATACCACTATTGCTTATTAATAATGAAAAATGTTGTGAAAATCATGTAGATTTTTATTTCCAAATTAAATGTGGGAAAGCAAATACAGAAAAATATTATTCAGATATGTTTATTTGTTTCTCAAACATATAACACATATATGTCTACTTCCTAATGTTAAGGGAAAAAACCATATTGTGTTACCATTGTCAGCATACATCTCAACAGAAGATCTCACTAAGACTCTGATTTACTCTGAGAACCATACAAAGCACTACACCACCCCTCTCCCAATAAGTTAACATGGAGAGCAGGCAACTCCTCCCTGGGGTCAATAATTATTCCAAATTTTGCTCTGATCCCAGTCTCCAAGCTCATCATTATTTCCTTCCAGCCCATTTTCATACTAACTGTCCAAAACAATCAGTCTCACATTTTCCACTTCAGCTGCATTTGGATTAATCTTTGCCTTATATACTTGGAATATATATCTTGCTGTACCTCCACTCTATTAAAACCACTATCTGCCATGTCTGGAACATCAATTTTTAATTGATGCTCATATAAATAGTTGGACAGAATGTTTCTTACCCTGATCATTACATATATAGCACAGAAGAAATTAGTCGTGGTATTGACTCTGGCTTCTGCTCCTGTACCCACCTTTCTCAACTCCAGCTTCCCTTGTCCTGGTTTGTGGATTCTCACGACGTAGTACTGTGTTTGTAAACTACGGGCAGTCAAACTCCACCAATCTTAGACAGAAATAGATTGGACTTTCTCTTTGCTACCTTATCTACCTACAGGCAATATATGTAAATGCATGCTTACCTGTTGCTGAAATGTTTTTTCTTGCTTCAAGAAAGCAAAGCTTCATAACAGCGTTATTGCCCTGGGTGTTGATATCAAAGGTGCAGGCTCCCATAGTACCTTGATCTGCCATGAGATGGGTGGAGCAGCTCTTCCTAGCACTGAGAAGCCTTTGAGGTTCTGGGTCTGTAATGAAACAAAACTGGGTTCCTAATAAATAGGAACATCTACTTTTCAAACTAGTACCTGTGAGAAACAATTGTCTCACCTGTGCCCCTGTCTCTAAGCACTCTATCAAGTCTCAGGACAGACTTCTGGTCAACATGCACCAAGCTATCTTCTGCTATCCATTTTCTCAACCCCATCTTGAAACACGATTTGGTTTCATTTTTGTTTTACATATTCCTTACACACTTACTGCATTTTCTCTTGATATGAGCAGGGATTTCATATTGTAGTCACTGCTGACATCTTAGAGATCATTATATGCTCAAGACAAATGTGATTCTAATATCATGGCATTTTCAGCTTATTAATTATTAATATCAATCTTGAAAATATTGTGATGAACATGAAATGTAATGACTGCTTATGTATATTTTAATGATCATTTTTAGCAATACTATTGCTTAGTGAGTTACCCTGGAGAAGACACTCCTAATGGTACTTCAATTATCTAATGATATCATCTCCAGAACTTATTAATGAAAACTGAGACTATTCTCAGAATGAATGAATAGTGTGAACGTAGTTCTGAAAAGTCTCTACAGGAGTATCTTCGAAATTTTGAAGTAAGAAATTTATAGCAATGTCTTTCACACCCTTCAAAAAATTACTATTATTAGCTTTTCTCCCTTATCTCTTTGTGTATTTAATGCAAGCCCCAATTTAGCTGTTGTAAGAGCAAGATGGTACTCTCCTGAAGGCCAACACAGTAGAGGAGGAATTCAGCCCTCTCCCTGGAGAGTCAGGTGACCTTGAATGATTAGCTTGTATTACATGAAGCTTGTCAGAGCTCGGCGTCTGCACTCAGGCAATCTTTAAATCTCTTACCTTGATTCTCTTAATCAGTTGTTTCACAAAAATAAGTGCATCTGATGACCAGTTCTTCCTAATGTTAGCTTCACCCTCGGAGTTTATACAATTCAGACAATAGAATCTTGCTAGCCCACAAGGAATGACATATTCATTACCCAAATAAATTAGTCTAAGGAAAAAACCTTTAGTATCTAAGGAAAGTAAAATAAAATGTGAAAGGAAATTGTCAAGACATTTTGCTTAAATATAAAATATTCATATGCTCTGCTAAACTCCCATAAAATATAATATACTCTTATCTAATGCTCCTCACAAGTTTCTGAAGCAAGGAATAATTTAAGATTTCCAGGTGGCATAATATTTAATACATGCTCTAGATTGAGCCTGAACAGCCTATCAAGTGAACATTTTCCTACCAAGGGGTATCCAAGGTTCACTCAAAAGCAATTTGGCAAGGTTCATTGCCAAAAACTAAACTCGATAAAAATGAGAGGACTGTTCCCTGCTGTCAGTAATTCAGAAACGCTGATGTTGCATAAAGAGACAAAATGGTCCACAATGAAGAATTTGCTAAGCCAAATAAATCTCAAGGTTCTTTTTAGTCACTTTGACAAGACAACGACATCCTAATCCTTTGTGCTTTTAGCCGATCATCTATAATTTAGGAGCAAGCTACATCAGATACATGCATAAACAACCAGGCCTGCCGTGGTCTGACTCAGGTACAATATTTAGTTTCGAACTTGCACTCACCTGATTTTGATTTCACCAGCCGCTGGTAATCAGGATGAAGGACATGGTGCGCATTTTCTGTGCTATTGTTCCATAGAATAATTTCCCCATCATAACTCCCTACATGAGCCAGGATGGAGAATATAAATAACCAGAATGTTAAACAGAAAATATGTGCAACAGGAAGTAGAAAAAGTCATCACAAGTGTATCTTACACAGAATCTCACACACAGTGGATTCTCTTTTTATATTTTGGAAACATGACTCATAATAACTAGCTTCTTTTTAATTTTAGAGTTTATAATCCTTACAACATAATTTATGCAGGTATGTAGAAATTACTGGCACTTTATTTTATTTTATAGTTAAAAAAAGCACTAAGAATAAAGGCTTTGCAGTGAGACACTTGAATCTGAGTCCTGGCTCTGCCACTTATTAGCTGTGTAACCTTGGGCATGATATTTAACCCTCCTTGCTGCCAAGATTTCCTCATCTATAAGACAGGGTGGATAATCGTATTTATCTCATAGTGTTGTTTGGAAGAATGAAAAGTACTTAAAATAGTGTTGAACATATTGTAAGACCTGAAAAATGTTTAATTATTACTATACTTGTTTACTATTTAGTAAGAACAAGTAAATCAAGTTCTAGATATCTGTTCCTGGCATCTCTTAAAATGAGTGTGTGTGTGTGTGTGTGTGTGTGTGTTGGTGTGTGACTTCTCTCAATTCCTTTACTTTTACAATCTTTATTGATTATTGATTTCTACAATCTTAAAATTGTTACTGCTCTTCACAGAACAAAAAAAGGATCCGGTGATGAAGTTAAGTTTGACTATGCCTGTCCCAAGAAGGAGCAATGGGAATGCCCAGATCCCTGCTCTCCGTGGCTCAGTGAGGATAGCCCACTACTGAGCTGTCAGTAACAAATGGAAAGTATGGAGGAGCTGAGCTTGAGTGGGATATGCTCATAGAGACAATCTCAGAAATTTGGAGAGAGGAGAGAGAAATGCATACTAAACTTCATATCATCTCAGAAACAGCAACATCTTTAGCTCACAAATTGGCCAAAAAGAGTGGAATTCAGTTGTCTGTGGGGGTAGCCATCTTCGCCCATGAAGCATTTTACAATGCTCCTTTTCAAAGTGATTGACCAAATATTTTCACATGGGACTGAAGAGATGAGATTGAATGAGGAAATTATCTATCCACCCATGCAATGGTATTTTCTGACACTTTCACAAAAACAACTACACGGCTTTATACTTCACTATCTCCATCATATTTCATGATGTGATCCTCCCTGCAGGGATGGACTTCCAGTGGCTATAAAGAAAGTTCACCTACAGAGTTGACCCTTCCAGAAAGTAATCAGAGAAGTACTGAAAAACAGCAAACTTTAAAAAGAGGTAGATCCTTGAACTTCATACGGTTAATATTTCATGGATATCCTGGTTCTTTTCCTTTAAGTTTTCATCTCTCTTAATTGATAACATTTTTGGCTCCATATAAAAAAATTCAGACTGTCAAAACATGGACTCTAAATTTTCATGGTATCCTGCAATCTGTTTTTATGAGTTTCTTTCTTTGACCAGAAATAATACAGCAATTTTTATTCTTTTTAGCATGTCACATCAAAGCATGCTGATGGATCATTTTAAGACCTTGTTTTAGTAGATACTCTTTAACAAACTACATTGTCAGAGCTAAACTATGCCAAAAGGTTACTAGTAGTTGCTGTAGTTACTACTAATAATTACTGATGAATTTCTTATGTGCCAAGAATGGTGTTAAACTCTTACACTGACAATCTGTACTGTAAATAAAAATATAGATGACCCTGTTGAAGATAAATGGACACTATGAGAAACAGTGACTTCATCAGCTCTTGTGCTGACTGTTGATGTACAATGTAATACTTTATCCATTTTAGTATTTTTTCTTTGTTTTGTTCTAGTACTATTGGTTGAACTCTGTAACTAACACACAATTATTCTTAGGTGTTTAAATTTTAACTGAAAAGTGATCCCTGTTAAATATAAGAGTGGGAATAAGAGAGGGAGGAGATGCACAATTTGAGACATGCTCAATCGGACTTGCCCCAAACAGTAGAGTTAGAAACATGCCAGGGGATTCCAATTCAATCCCATCAAGGTGGCATGTACCAATGCCATCTCACTAGTCCAAGTGATCAATTTCAGTTCACTATTGATCACACTGATAGGTCTAAGAGTCAAAGGAATCACATAAACAAGACTAGTGTCTGCTAATACTAACTGATAGAATCAAAAAGGGAGAGAACAATCCATCATGGGAAGTGGGATACACAGCAGACTCATAGAATGGCAGATGTCCTAAATAGCACTCTGGCCTCAGAATCAGCCCTTAAGGCATTCGGATATGGCTGAAGAGCCCATGAGAGTATTTTAGGCATGGAAAGCTAAGACACTCTGGGAAAAAAAAAAGAGGACCTAAATGAAAGATCTCTGCGAGTGAGATCCCAGTGGAAAGAACAGGGCCATCAAAGAAGGAGATACCTTTCTCTGAATGGAGGAGAGAACTTCCACTTTGACTATGACCCTGTCGGAATAAGATCGAAGTCGGCAAACTCAAAAGGCTTCCATAGCCTTGGCAACTCATGACTAGAGCCTAGGGAGATTACTGATGCCATAAACAAGAGTGTCAAATTGTTAAGTCAACAAAAGGAGTCACTGTATACTTACTTCTCATGTGGGATCTTTCCTTAATGTGTTGTCCAATGTGAAGCAATGCTATAACTAATAATGAAACAGTATTTTACACTTTGTGTTTCTGTGTGGGTGCAAACTGATAAAATCTTTACTTAATGTATACTAAATCAATCTTCTGTATGTAAAGATAATTGAAAATTAATCTTGATGTGAATGGAATGGGAGAGGGAGCAGGAGATGGGAGGGGTGCAAGTGGGAGGAAAATTATGGGGGGGAAGCCATTATAATCCATAAACTGTACTTTGGAAATTTATATCTACTAAATAAAAAAGTAAATATATATATATAGATGGATTATTTTTACCAATGAAAATTATGCCTTAGAGTTTGTATAACTTGCTCAATATCATGCTGTGGCAGAATGGTAGAACATGGTAGAATCAGGATGTGCGGCTAAAGAGCCAACCAGATGAACTGATGGTCATCACCATGTTGCCCAAGCCACATTAAGTACCACAATTGTTTCTTTAATAAGTCCGTTCATTTTGCAGTTGAGATTTTTTTTAAAGTGTGTAAGCCAAAACAAATCAAACTGCCTCCCTTGATGGTCAAGTGAAGGTCCCATTCACCTGTAGCAAGAGTTTGCGGGGGTAAAAATGCAGCACACAGAATGTCATCCTGGTGCTGTACTCCTCCTTTCCATTCCTCAGACTGGATGAAAAATTGATTGAAGTTCTGGGGTCGAAACACAGTAATACCTCTAGTAAAAAGAATATGGAATTTAGCCATTATGCTAAAAGTGATACAGATATGGACTAGCCATTATCCATTTGGGTGGTGATATTTGAAAGGCCAAAAACCCAATATTTTATCTGATGTAATCAGTAAAACTGAGTTCCTACACTGAACTATCTTTTAGATTTTCATGTTTAATTCTCCAGTAAATTATGAATATGTAACAACAGAAGTTTATCCCTTTTACAGCCATTAATATCAAACATGTATCCATTTATCAGATTAATTATCCATCACCAAGACTCTAAAGCAAAGTCCCAACATGGAACCATGAAATCACCAGGAATTTTGCAGCAATAACAATTAGGTGGTGCTGGTGAGGGTCTATGGACAATTAATGTTTGGACTTTAAACAGAATCAACAGGTTTCTTTCATCAAGCTTCTCAGGACATTTAACATGTTCACGTTTCCTGTGGTATCTCCCTAGCTTGCACAACCTCAGTCTAATCTGTTGGATTCCACAGAACCTTACCGAACTACCATTGGTGGCACTCACCAAAAGCCACTCTGAAGAAATTAGACACATTAGAAAAAAGACACTCCGAAGAAATTTGCTCAATCAATACATTTTAAACTGACAAAAAATTGGTTTTAGAGAGATCAGTATCTTGGGGCACTGATGATGAATTAGAATACAAACCAGAATGGGTAGAAAATGAAATACCTTGGGCCTGTAGGAAAGGGGATGCACAGAAATTAAATTGGGGGACAGGATTTGATGATTTGAATCCTGTCTACCAGCCTATGATAAACCTCTCCTTCCTTCTAGGGTCAACCACATCTCAAATGAGAATTTGTACCACACATTTGGCATCTGCCACTCTTACTCTCTCTCCGTCTCCCTGCAATTTTGCTTCTATTCCCACTACTCTGAAGGCTTCCTCACTGACCTACCATTGTTTTGCCTTATTCGTGAATGGAGACTCTTCCTCTCACTCCCACCCCTTGCAACTGTTGCTTCCAATACATTTTGCTTTTCTTCCTTCCTCCCTAATCTTTCATTCCCTAATCTCTATTTTCCCTCCAATTCTTTCTCATGTCTCTTTCAACACTCACAATATTGTCATTCCTCTGTCCCACTCAAACTGACTTAATCAGAGATCATGTACAACCAAAAGTTCCAATTTCATTTCCATACGAACAGCTCTTAAATTGATATTCAATCATAACCTTCTCCAGTGGTGTATAATTTCCACTTGTCTGTTGATGGTTCTATCTTATGTCGATATCAGCAACAGATCTTAATATACCAAAAGCCCGAATTTGCTATTTTCTCTCCACACCAGTTCTCTGCCTTGATTTCACAGTTTTGGTTAGTAGACCAGCACTCCAGTATCCTGAGTGTCTTTCTCTTCCCTGGTGAAAGCAAATACTTAGATTCTACTTCTGCCATGTGTTATCTATTCATTCCTCCTTTTTTGTTTTAAACAGTCAGTGACAGCTACCTAGTTAAGTATTTACAACTTCATGGTTGAACAATTGTAACAACTTCCAAACCAATTTCAATTCCTCTAGTCTACCAGCTTTGGTATATCTTTCACCCTGCTAATAGATTAATCATTCCACTCTGAACTCTTAATACACATCATTCTATATGCATGTCTTGTTTTCTATGTGAAAGTTATTATTCATGCTGAATGGGATAGAAAACCAAGAAAATAAGTGACTAAAATACAAGGTAAAATGTTATAAGTGCCAAGGAGGTAAAATACATCTGCCATGCAAGTCCACAGTAGAGATCACAAAAGGATGAGTTGAGATTTGATATTTGAACTGGAACATAAAAATGAGTAGAATTTTGAAGATGAAAGTGCTTCAGGTAAAGGAAACAGCATGATGAAAGGTAGAGTAAATGCAATATTTTAAAATGTTTACTGAAAAAATTCAGATATGTGGGCCTATTATTCTTAAGTCCAATCAACTTTTCAAAAATTCCTATTTATTTGGCAGGCAAAGCCTTACAGAGACAGAGAGAAATGCTGTCTTGCTGGTTCACTTGCCAAATGCCCATAACACCCAGGCTGAGACAGCCAAAAGCTGGGAACTAGGGACTCAATCTGGGTCTTCTGCATAGGTGGCAGGCACCCAATCTTGTGAGCATTCAATTGCTGCCCCCCAATGTGTGCATTATCAGGAAGATAGAATCAGGAGAAGAGCTGGTAGTCAAACCCAGGCCCTCCAATATGAGGTGTGGCTATCTTGATTGGCATCTTAATCACTAGGTGAAATACCCACCCTCAAACTGCTTTTTTAGGAATATTTTCTCTGCTATTGTATCCTTGGCTTTCAAAGTTATGTGAGGTGACATCACTAGAAACATGGAATATAGAATTGAAGGATAACTTTGTTTTGGTTCAAAAAATCAAAATCCAATCCAATCAAATCAAAATCAAAAAATCAATACACAGATTTTTGCATAATAAAGTTTAATTAATTTTTGAAGACCCCCTTATATGCTAGGATTTCAAATATTTTGCACCAAAATAAACTTATCTTTAATTCCATTTTCCACAAACTTCTGAAGTATCTTTATATATGAATAGACCATGAAGCCACAGAGTAAATATGGCACATCTTTTAAGTTTTTATTTTACTTAAAGAGCTTGGGAAAATTAGATCTCTGTTAAATAAGGATAGATGATGTACTATTGACAGAATGCAAAGTTGGCATGAATTTTAAGGCTAGAATACAAGATTTCAAGTCAATTTCTTCCTTTCAGGAAGTGTTTTAAACTTTTAGAGGTAGTCAGGGGCTAAGTTTCCAAAGCATTTTCTTGTCCAACCCAAACAATATTCCTCTTGCTCTTTAGTTACCCTGTAAATTCTACCAAGCACAAAATAGGCATTTAAAAATATTTGCTCAATCAATATAATAAAAATATTAAAATATTTTCATATTATTAATGAGGCTTAATAATAATATAGATATCATAAAGTTTTGAAATTGCAGTTTAATTTCATAATAGCTTTGTACGTATGTAATTTTAGTTTGACTGAGAGATTATCCTTTGGGCATGGAAAGTGTGCGGTGAGAGGGGGAGGGCAAAGTTCAACCCTATGCAATTTCTATTAACTCAGCCAAACTTCAATAGCAAATGTCTTTTTCCCAAAATTCCCATATTAAATATACACTAGATATATTCAGGAACTATCACCCAAAGGCACAAGACGCTTTTCATAGATTATATGAAAGTAGCTCTTCTCATATTTGACCTTGTATGTCAAAATGTTGAGAAACTAATTAGCTGACACCTTTCCCTTAAAACCTAACCTGAAATATACATTTGAAATGACAGTTGTCCTTAAAATACCTTAAGAATCCATATAGTAGTTCTTACTTTTTCCATTTCAAAGATAACTTTTTTTTAAGTTGGTACTTTTGCCAAGAGTTAAATTAAAGTTCAGAATAAATCAATCTTAAGGCCTTTATCAGAGTTGAAGAGACCTATTCTTTCTGGCACTGAAGAAGTTTGCTAGTTTCATTCCTCTTCACACATTTAAAATCCTGAGAGTACTGCTACTGAATTGTCATGTCATCTTACTGAAATGATGATCACTTCTCTAATTCACAATTTAAATATGATGACCCATTATATGAGAACAAAATTAGTTTACCTGTCAAGTATATAAAAGCACAAAAAAGCAAGGAATATTTAACAAAACCAACCTCTTTTTTAGGAAGGATGAGTTAGGAAAACAACTTTTACCAAAACTTATCAAGCAGAAATTCTCATGGAGATAACACAAGAACACAATCAACTGTTTATTACTCATGGGTTAATTGTTCATGTGTTGTTAGTCCAATTATCATAAGCCTTGTTAATACCTATCCTTTAACACATTGCTTTTTAGTCTGAAAGGGCATATCTCAAAGGAAAAGAATGGGCTTCATTTAAGGCAGCTAATTTTGACTCTTTTTTCCTATTTTCTAAAATATGTGAAATTGAATTTTCTACTCTGAAATAATCACAGAATTTGTTTTAAGAATTACTTGTGAATTCCAAACACCTTCCTTCTCCTGACTTCTCACATGATTATTTTACAATAAATCACAACCTGGACATTTCTGTTCCAATTATTTTTGTTTTGTTTCATAAATTTTTTGTTTAAAAAACAAAAACGGGCCAGCACTGTGTTGTAGAAGGTTTAGCCTCCACTTGCACTGTCATCATCCCATGTGGGTTCTGGTTCGGGTCCCATTCGCTCCACTTGCATTTTAGTCCCCTCCTAGTGTGTCTGGGAGAACAGCAGAAGATGGTTCTTGTTCCTGGGCTCCTGCCCTAATGTCAGGGACCCAGAGGAGGCTCCTGGCTCCTGGCTTCTGGCTTCTGCCTGGCCGAGTCCCAGTCATTGCTGCCATTTGGGGATTGAAACAGAGGATGGAAGATCTATGTCTCTCTGCCTTTCTCTCTCTCTCTGTGTCACTCTGCCTTTCAAATAAATAGATAAACCTTGTTAATAAAGAGTTTAGCAAACATATAAAATTGTACATATTTGTGGGCTGATATGTGATATTATTTATCCTTTCAAACACTTAACATTTATTCATAGTAAAAATATCCGAAAGACCTACCTTCTGGTTTTGAATAGAAGATTATACAGTGCATTAACATTATCTATCTTCACCCTACTGAGCAATAAATCCCCATAACTTCTTATTCTTTTCTAGCTATAACCTAGTACCCGTCAACAAAAACCTTTCCCAACCCTTTCTCTCTTTTTTTTTCACATTTTTATTTATTTATGTGAGAGGCAGAGTTACAGACAGTGAGAGGAAGAGACAAAGAGAAAGGTCCTCCCTTTCACTCCCCCATTGGCTGCAACGGCCGGAGATGCACAGATCCGAAGCCGGGAGCCAGGAACTTCTTAAGGGTTTCCCACGTGGGTGCAGGGGCCCAAGGACTTGGGCCATCTTCTACTGCTTTCTCAGGCCGCAGCAGAGAGCAGGATTGGAAGAGGAGCAG